CACCTCGGGGGGGGGCACCCAGCGCAAAGACAGCGAGAGGGGTGGCGGCTGCAGCGGGGACGGGGAGGGGGGGAGAGCGGTTCCCTGCCCGGTGGTTTGAAAAAGAGGAGCAGCGCCTTCCCTTTCCCCGGGTAGCCATTCATCCCCGCGGCACCGCGGGCCTAGGAGAAAAGCACGTCTGTGTGAGCTCCTCGCACGCTTGGCCATGGCGGAAAGCTGCAAGGACCGGTCTGCAACGGGGAAGAATCGCACGGGATCCTCATTCTGTACTCGGGCGAATATCTGTCTAAATATTTTCCAGCGGTCAGGTAAACACTCTGGGGTCTGCGGCAGGACTGGAGGAAGGTCCTGCCCTGGGAACGCAGCGCTATCGAGAAAGTGAAAAAGGGCGATTGTGGAACACGGCGCTTCTCTCCCCTCGAAATTTAAGTCCCTTTTCCATCTGAAAGCCAAAATTAGCTTTAAAGTGCCGGTCCATTCACCGTCAACACTTAAGGGTACATTGCGGTTGAACTTTTTTTTTTTTTTAAAGAGGCAATAAATGATTTTTAGGTTCCCTAGCGTGTTGTGAATATTCCTCTGCGCCCGTTTATTCCGCTCGAAACCCAAAGAAAGCCTGATTCGAGGATAAGGGCTGAAAGTCCTGGGCTGAGCAGCCAGCCGCAACCTCTAGCGCCTAGCATTGCCAGCGTGAATAAAAATACGCTCTTCGCTCAACTGTTTCTCACCGGAGTATTTTCTATTTAACTGCCTGCAAAGAACAGAAAAATGTACCCGCTTTATTTTACATTTATCATTATTTTAAGTTGTCTAATTTCAGCGTCTTTGATTTTTTTTCTCCCATTTACAATTCCTGGTGCATTCATCTGCTGTCAACAGCGCTGAGTCAACAAAAGCATCCGTAGGCAACTTCTGTTTATTTACAGTCCTAAACTGATCTGTTTTCCATCTAATGGAAATTAAATGGCGAGGCACTTTTAGGTTGCATTTCTCCAAGAGAACCGTGAGTCAATAACATCAGTGCTATAATTAGGAGGAATTTAAGAGACAGCATTTACAAAACCAAGAAGTTTTGTCTACACGCTTACAGCGGTAGCCAAACTTAAATTAAAATAAAAACAGTATATCAGGCTGGATTAAGGGTCCATTTTCATTTGCAAGATAACTTTTACGGAGGGTGACAAGAAAAAAAAAAAAAGGGAAGGGTGCCTCGCTTTTATCATGGCAAAGCAGAAATAATAAAAATAAATAAATAAATGAAGGAGACACCGAGAGACACGCAAATAAATGCAAGCGTAAATGGACAGGAAACACACGACCGGAGGGCCCGGCCGCCATGCGGTGTAAACAGAGAAATGGGGATGGGGGAAAAAAAGAGGTTTCCTGATCTCCTAAAGGCTTTTCTCCCTTTTTCTCCCCGAGCCGAACGGCTCCGGGCTTTGCGAGTGCGTGTGCTGGTCCCGCCGCGCAGGCAGAGGAGCACGAACAATTGGAGCGGAGCCTCCTGCTCTGCAGAAACCCGCTCGGAATCGCACCGCCCGCCTCGGCCCTTCGGCGGGGGAACCGCGCCGGAGCCCGGCCGGACGCAGATCCCGGCAAGCCGAAAGCAAAACCGGAGCCCACCGACCCGGGGCTGTGGGGTTTCCCGTCCCCCGCGGCAGCCGCTGCGGGGAGGGAGGCAGGGAGAGCCGGGCTCTGCCCCCGCCGCAGCCGCTGCGCCCCGCACACACACACGCACGCACACAGGCGCGCACGGAGCTGCCCACGCCTGCGGGTGAGCCCCAGCCCTGCCCGCACCCCGGGAGCCCGTGGGGAGCCCGGGCAGAGCTCGGGGCGCGCCAGGCAACTTCGAGCCGTGCCTGCCCCCGTCGCATCCCTGCGGCTGCCGGGAGGAGACCTACCCGCTCGGCGGGGGGGACCAATTTCTCCCCGTGGCGGTGATGGAGAGGAGGAGGAGGAAAGGAGAGGCAGAGGCGCGCT